ATTATAACTAATATTTATCTTGTCCCAAGTGTCGATGATTCTTTCTCTTGGTGGCGGAACTCTGCAGGGTTTTTGGTAAAGTCAGCTTACGTAACTATTTCATCTCCGTACTCTTTTTCGTTTCCTTTTGAAGACATGTTGGCCCAAGCATTAAGTTTAATTTGGAGTTGGCATGCTCCAAGCAATATCCAGTTTTTGGCTGGGAGATTTATCTTGAGAAGGATGCCTACAAAAGATGAATTGGCTAAAAGAGGGGTCCTTTTTGTGGTGTTCATAACCTCATCTTCCCCCTTGTTGCACCCTAAAATTTGACCAACCGGGTCCCGTATCTGGTTCGATGTTTCGACGCATGACTGCATTCGCATCCGCATATCGCATACAGTGCATTTTTCATTTGTTTTGATTTTATCGGGATCACAGCCCTCGTCTCGCGTTTCAGGTGTTTTTTGATCAGTTTAGATAGGTAGAATTGTATTTTCGGGAATTCGTGCTATTCCCGGTGTTTTCAGCTCACGCTGTTATTTTTAGGGATATTTCGGTGTCTATTGGTTTTTACCGGCTATTTCGGTGCGCTCTCGCAGTGTTATTTGTCGTTCGGTGCTATTTTTGTTCCTTCGGGAATTATTGTGATTTTTCTGGATTTTATTGGCCATTATTAGGGTTTTAATAGATTTTAATTCTTTTAGAATATTAATTGAATAGGTTTTTAGATGTAGATTTAATAGTTTATTAGTTTCTTAATAAATAGAATAGATTTTAGAATAAATAGATTTCCTCCTGTTAAATAGTTTTAAATAGATAGTATTAATATTAGATTTTAATAAGTAGTGTTATAGATTTTAATACAGAATTTTTAATAGGTTTTATTATTTTTTAGAGTATATTAGATATTAGTAGCTTTTAATATGTTTTTCAGAATATAATAGGTATTAATAGAAGTTGATAGAAAATAGTATAGATGTTAAATAGATATTAGGTTCAGATTAGTATAGTTTAATGATTTGTTAGATTTTAAGTAGTCAATTTTAGTTGAATCAGATATTAATTAGCTTTTAATTCGTTAGCCTTTAATTCTGCATTAGTTAGTCCTTAATTGTCATTAGCTTTTAGTCTATTCAGTTTAGTAACCCAATCCGTTTATTAATCATTCATTAGTCATTAGTCTTTTAATTAACCATTGATAATCATGATAAACCATTCATCATTTTCGTTTGGGCCCAAGGCTGTGTTGGAGGCCCATTTCATCTCAGAGTTTCAGTCCAAGATCATGCCAGCAATATAAAAAGGGTGCAGCCACGTGTAAATCAGGAGAGGCCCCCACTTATCACCCTGCATGCGTGACAACGCACAACCCATTAACCCTCTCTCCTCACACTTGGCACGCGTGCATTCTTCCCTCTGACCAACCCTTGCCACTTGTCTAGCTCACAGCCTTCACCGGTTGCATGGCCGGCGGTCATGCAACCACCCTAACAGTTCCCCGCCGGCACCTCTAACCAACTCCGACCACCGCTGAATCTGCCGGAGAACACGAAATTACCAGAAACTCAACTCTCATCGTCAAGCCTCATCAACCTTCCATCATCTTCCCAGAAATTCGTCCAACCTCCATCAACACTCAGCAACGTTCATCATTTCCCAGAAAACTTGAAGAATATTCATCAAGTTCAACCGTTTCCAAATTTCTTCAAGATCTGCATCACGGATCTTTCAACAACGTTCATAGTGTTTGTAACCGTTTTTTTTCAAGATCTTCATCCGCGATCTTGTTTCCAGAATCTTCAAGTACGATCCACCGTGAATGAACTCTGTTACGCATCTGCGAACCGATCCTCGTCTTCAACCGATCAAGAACTTCACAATTCTTCATTGATGATTCATGTGGTGTCTAGAGTTTATCATCATTTCATCCGCGTTCTTCGCAATTCTCCAGAAGTGTTCAACCGTTCATACTCGTCGTTTTCCAGAAAATCCTATTAACATACATCCAGATTCACGTGTTCATCAGTTTTCCGTCAAAGATCCTCCAGAATTCCTCAAGTCTTCATCCAAATCTCCGCAATCCTCAAGAATAATCATTCACGACCTTCAACGATTCGCCAAAGAGCCACGAAGAACATGCGACCCCAGTGAATGATCAGCAAGGTCACCACAACGAACATTCGTCAACACGATGATCGTCTCCCGATTTCTTCATTATTCTTCAACAACAGCAAGAAGATCTTCAGTCCTTCATCTCCGTCTTCGCTCATCACATCATCAAGAACATAGATCTTCAACATCTTCAAAAAGGTCCCTCTGAGATCATTAAGCCGTGGATTTAGTTTGTATCGATTGTGGTGTTGTTAGGTCGTTGGGGATTACAATGTTCAGAGCGTGTTTGATTTGAGTTGAATGATTTTGTGAGTGTTTGAGAAAGAATTTTGAGATAGAGAATCTGAAGAAGAAGATTGATTGAGAGGTGAAGGGAGATAGAACGAAAAAGTTTGGAGAAGGGAGAGAACGACGCATGTGTTTGGGTGAACAGTGATTAGGGAGTGGGAAGATTAGGGTTGAGGGTGTGAGAGGATGAGGCTGGGTTGGCATTGGGCCTCAAGCCCAGCGAGCGTTTTTGGCAATACGCACTCCCGTTTCCTACTTCCCCCCCCCCCCCTCCGTGTGTTCTTTGGCAATGGGCCAAGCCCAATTTGTTTTCTGGGCTACACCTTCCGTTTACGTCCGCACCCCCCCCCCCCTGTTTTTTTCTTTTTTTTCTTACGTTTTTGTTGGGCTGGGCCCAATTCCAGTGGTTTTTTGTTACTGCTTGTAATTCCCCCTTTGAACCAGTGTACCCCCCTCCCTTCATATTTTCTTTTCTATTTTTTATATTTTTAGAAGAAAAAAACAATAAAGAAAAAGAGGATATTTGAAAAAAATATTGAAAAAAGAATATATAAAAGAAAAGGTGTGGAAAAAGAATATATAAAAGAAAAGGTGTGGAAAAAGAATATATTTGTAAAAAAAGAAAAGAAATATGAAAAGAAGAAATAGAAATATAGAAAAAATATTTGAAGAGAATATTGACGTGAGAAAAATAATGTTGAAAATAGTTGAAAAAGAATAGAGAAAAAATAGTAAAAAATATTAGTGTAGATGTAATATTTTTTAGAGTATATTTTTTCATAGAGTTTATTTACCTTTTAGAGGTAGTTTTAGAAGTCCATTTGTTAGGGGACTTTTTACCTTTTAGAAGTAGGTTTAGAAGTCCACTTGTTAGGGGACTATTTTCCATTTGATTTTCCATTATAGATGGATAGGATAGGATAGTATTTCCTAGGAGTTTATTTTTTAGTATTCAATCATTGTAACCATTTTTCAGAATGTTAATAAAATGAGATTTGAGCTGTGGTCCCGAAAGTAGCCGAACTACAGCTGCTCTGATTTCTCGTACCAGATGAGAATATGTAGGCATAGGATGCGATATCCTAGCGAGCACACTAACAACTAACCTTTTGTTCTCTCACGGCTGTGCGATCGAGACCTTCCCGCTGACGATTAATTGTTATCCCTTTTCTCTTGCCCGAGTGCATTTGAGACCAGACCGTAGTTTTTCCCATAGGTTCCCGTACCTTTAAAACCAGTTTAATTTCTCACTGCTGTGTGAGAACACCCTGTTTAGCCGTAGTTAGCCTGAACTACGTAAGCTCTGATCTTCCATGCAGTGTGGAAGTACGTAGGCACAAGACGCGAAGTCTTGGCGAGCCAATTTCCCCGTAGTCCCGAACTACGTTGACTCTGACTTTCTCTCTTGAGAATATGTAGGCATAGAGTGCGACGCTTTATCGAGTCAATTCCATTCCGTTTAGATTTAGCAGCCGTAGATAGATTGTTTTTGCATCCTGTAGACAACCCAAGCAAGCGTGGATCCCGTCGAGTACGACGGACGTGGGGGGTGCTAATACCTTCCCCTTGCGTAACCGACTCCCGAATCCAGGTTTTGGTTGCGATGACCATACCTTTCCCCGTTTTTGCGAGGTTTACTTCGAGCGTTTCCTTTCCCTCCGTTGGGATAAATAACGCACGGTGGCGACTCTTCTGTCAGCCGACGCCGATTTTCGCAGTAGCGACACCCCTTTGTCTTGGCCAAGCGGAATCTCTTGACCATTTGTTCTTATTTTTCCCTGTAGCTGCTAGTGTTTGGGTCATTATCTTGGATTGGATTGGCTTAGGCCAATTGCCTTCTCAGGTGAATTTGTTGTCCTACTTGCTAGCTTTTGATAATCACTTGATTAGAAAGATCATAAAAAAGAGAAGACTCTTCATTTGACTGACAGTAGTTTGAGCCATCTGATCAACTAGGAACAATATTGTGTTTAAGGGGGGCCATAAGGGAGTAACCAATATTGTTGTGTTAGCCAAGAATCATTCAGAGGATTGTATTAGAACAAGTCGGTTGGGCCTTTAGGCTTTGTTGTGAGAAATTTTCACCTCTTACCCCTACAGTTATACCCATACCCCTACACTAAAATTTTTTGGACCAAAATACCCTCATATAAATAGTTATAGTTTTAGAAACTCTGCTTTCCATTTTCATTTCCGTCTGAAGTCTTCTGAGAGAATGTTTTTGCTGCTGTATACCGGAACTCTAATCACAAGTCTTCTGGTTCATAAAGTGTATACAAGAGGTGTTAGAGTAAGTCTTTCGGTTCTGTTTTTATACTAGAAGACATTGAAGAAGTCTTCCGGTATTCTGGTTTTTTGAGTTTACTTACCAAAAGTGTTAATGCAAGTCTTCCGGTATTCTGGTTTTTTTTTGTTTATTTACCGAAAGTGTTAAGGAAAGCCTTCCAGTTTGTTTAAGTTAAGATTCATTCCGGAACTCATTGCTAAAGTGTTCCGGTTCGTTTTTTTTATACTTTTTTTAATTTCTTTTTTATGTTTTTATTTTGGCAGTGGTGCGCACACGAGGCAAGGACAGTAAGATCCCTGATCGCGGTCTAGGACAGGGGGAATCATCAAGAATGACTGAGGAAGAACATACTGGTGCATCTGCATCAGCAACACATACTGTTGGGTATCTAGGAGGATTGTACGATACCTCTCTTTTGGTTAAGTACGAACATCATATTGCTAGACATATATGGTTTGGTGACGTAAGTAAACGACCATTATTTGATATTGAATAAAATTAGAATTTATAATGTTGTATTTTATAATATATTTACTTTTAATTGTTTTCAGGAGAGAGGTACGAAGAAAGAGTTGAAGTTAGCAGGACATATGTTAAAGCTGATTAAGAGGGTTCCACTGCAGCTTCCTAGAGAGATGGAGGGTTGAGTATCTAGGTCTAGTTTATCTTCATTCCAAAGAACCAGCTTGACAAAGATATATACGAACTTGGTTTTTGCATTTGCAGAGAGATGGCATCTAGAGACATCTTCATTTCACATTTCGTTTAGTGAGATGATGATTACTCTGGATGACGTCTCTTGTCTGCTTCACTTGCCCATCATGGGAGTCTTATGGAGCCCTCAAGATATCAGTGAAGGGCTTGCTGTTGAGTGGGTTGTTGATTACTTAGAAGTGTCACAGAGAGTGGCACAACAACAAGCCCGTGACTGCAGGGGTTCTTACTATAGCTTGGAGTGGGTATACGATCGATTCATAGAGCATAGAGCTGCTTCTAAATGGGCATATGCGACTAGAGCTTATTTGTTGATGTTAGTGAGTTCCACGATTTTTGCAGACAAGACCTTTACGCTTGTCAAGGCACGATACCTCTCACTACTTATGGATTTTGAGGGCTTATCAGGATACAGTTGAAGAGAAGTTGCGTTGGTTACCCTTTATAGATATCTCAGAGATGCTTCCATGTTCAGTTGTAAGCAGCTCGATGGTTATCCGACTCTTCTACAGGTCTTTATTTTAAATTTTATTTTATTTTAATTAATTTTATTTAGTATATTAATTTTATTTATCTAGTTTATTATGTTATAATTAATTATTTTAAATTAACTAATATTATTAATTTTCTAACAGTGCTGGATTCATGAGTATTTTTCAACACTTGGAAAAAAAAGGAGAGAATTGGATACCAGCTAATAATGTTAGTCTCCCTCGAGTGATGAGATGGTCCTATAGGCAAGGTGTTTTGAAGGTGGATGACTTGCGACCTATTTTGGATGAGCTGGCACCTGTCGATGTCATATGGCGCAGATTCGAGGATAATAGAGTATGACGTCAGTTTGATGAGTTATGTCTATAGGAGGGGTGGCTGAGGTGGGGTGACACTATTGTTCCATACTTGCCTGACAGATGTATGCGTCAGTTTGGATACAGGCAGTATGTTCCACCTCCACCTCTTGATTATACGACGGCTGATGATATTGATGTTGAGTGGATTAGTTATCATCAGAGCATTAGGGATGCGATTCGTCGCATGACACTGGCCACCACCCCATCTGAGACAAATGGTGGATATCTTCAGTGGTATTATCGTGTTTCGCATCCTAGTCGGATATCGCCTCATCGTGATGCGCCAAGAGAGGTGCCAATTCCTGTTTATGATGCAGGACCGTCTGATCCTAGCTGGGATCATGTTTCTTCATTGATTCATCGTTATCTTCAATAGGCTGGTGCTGAAGAGTATGATCCACAGTGCTGAGTTGTTTGAAGCTTTACGTATTGCTCGTTCACATTGACTTATATTTATGTTTATTTTTATGTGTTAACTTTTAGACTTATTGCCTTATGTTTATGTTTATGTATTAACTTTTAGACTCACTTCACTTAGTTGCGTTATGTTTATGTGTTAACTTGTAAACTTATGTTTAGTTTTGAATCCAGTTATGTGTTATTGAAATTAAAAATGAATAACATAATTCATGATTTGTGTTATTGAAATTAAAAATGAATAACATAATTTATAATTCATAATGCGTTGGTAATATAGGCGTAAGTTGTTGCCAATATTGTAGACGTCCTGCAAATCCTAGCATCCAAGATGTTGTTGGAGAACGAAACTTCTTCCAATCTACTGTCACTAGTGGAAATGGAAACCCTTATTTCATGTTTACGTGAATAAAAAAGATAATCAAAATGTTAAGTAAAATTAACTAAGAAATTAGGTTAGTCACATTAACTAAAAATAACTAAGTACCTGAACCCAATGATTTGTGTTTACAAAACCAATGCAATAAAAGGATACATTTGGTGAAAATGACGTTGTTATAGGAAAGAAAGTCCAGCATTCAAATCCTAAACAGACAAGTACAACATTAAAGATTCACTATCAAGTAACCAAAATCTGGTAGAGTCAACTATTTTTGTGGTGGTTGAGGACCAAATGCCTCTATCATAAAAGATTCTTTCACTTTTGCTAACTGATTAGCAAATAAATTGACATACAAACTTGATCTTTCATTATGTATTATTTCCAACTCCAAGTTTCGACGAACCAATTGCCAAACATCTTCACCATATCGATGCAATGAATCAATGACTCTAAATACACAATTACCATCTGATACAACATTAACTACATCATCAATATATGACCTGATGTGATTAGGAAACTGAAGGATGAACTACTTAGATGACTGTGAAGATTGTGATAATTTCAACTTCTTCGAAACTTGTGATGGTTGAGATTTCTTCTGTAAAGATTGTGATAATTTCAAATTCTTCGAAGTCTGTGATGGTTGAGATTTCCTCTGTGAAAATTGAGATGCTTGATTAACATACTCATGATACGAAGGATCCATATAAACATCATACCTACTGGTTTTTTTCCTTTCTTCTTGACTCCCCCTTTAGTTTTTATTTTCTCAGGTGGTGGACACAAAGAAGTCATTGTGGGGAAGACAAGTTCAAAAACCATACTTTTTAATGCCCTTTTCCAAACATTATCTAGTTACCTAAACCTTTTTCATAACTCATCTATTGCACTACTCATATCCACCTTTGATCCATCATTTACGTCTTCCTCAACTTAAATTCCATACTTAGTTTCCTCCAATGAACATGCACAACATCTATTGGTATCTGTATACCACCAATTATATATGCTGTCAACTCACAAGCACAAGGTAATCCATAGGTTGTTCTAAGAGTACCACGACATATTTCCTTGTTAGTTCCAACATAATCAACTCATGTTAACTCTTTAGCAATGCGTCTCAATGCAGCTCGAGACACTGAACCACGTAAATTATTGTAAAATGGACTTACGTGAGCGTGCTCAACTTCATAAATTATAATCTTGCCCAGTTGTAACTTTAAGTTGTCATTCATAGCCTCCTAACATTTGACCATGTCACCAATATTGCTCCCCAACATCTGCTTTAACTTCCAATGAGTAGACTCAACCCTAAAAATAATACATATTAAAAATACAAAAAGAAAAAAAAATAAAATTTAGAAATACTAAAAATAAATACATACCGATTAGTCATGGTGTTACCCAAATGTAGCACTCGATTAATCCATGCTCTAACAAATCTTTGTCTATGTGGTGTCAATCGTATGTCCTTCACATAATCAATAAATTTATTACAATCAACGCACGACTACTCAAGTTGGTTCAACCTTTGATTATACTCAATCTCATCACTAGCCCATATAACTTGCGTCCATAAGTCCTCGATCGTCTTTTTCATGTCACTAACCACATGTTGCTTGCATTTTGCACCAACATTTTTGTTAATGTGAAATCGACATAGCAAATTGACCGACCTTAGAAACACAGTTTCAATGACTTTCATCAAAGCAAGATCTCTATCTGTCACAATCACTTGTGGACACAAATCTTTCTTCACAAACAATTCTTTAAGCTTATCTAACACCCAACAAAAAGTCTCAGTCTGCTCAGACTCAATATACGCAAATGCGACAACAAAAGTCAACTCGGTTGATGTCATGCCAATAATTTCAAACAAAGGTTGCCTATATTTGTTTGTCTTGTAAGTGTTGTCCATAACTAACACAATAGGAAAAATATTCAACAACTTAACTGAATCTGGATGAGCTCAAAATATATCTCTAATAACTTTAGAGTCATCTCTTTTTCTACTCTAATAAACATAACCTGCACTCTCAATAAGTTTAAACAAATGTTGTATCTCACTTCTAGGACCTCTTATCTCTTTTTCTATCATACTCTTCTGCTTGTATATTTGCGTGATCCGAGTGACATTATCTTGATCTTGCTCTTGCAAGGAAAGCAATATATGTCTAGGTGGAACCTTTCTCTTTGTCAAATCAACAACATGTTGCTTCTGATCTGTTGTCAACCTACCAACAAAGGAGTGATCTTCTAATCTATCAGGTAAACCATGGTTATGAACTCTACATTTTACATCAACTTTCCATCTAGACCCATCTTTCACCGGAGTCGACCTGATTTTAAATGGACATCCACATTTTTTTGTTGCACTTTGGGTATCACTATCAGTATCCTTGTGCTTTCCACCTTTATCACAACCAAATATTAATTTGTTACTTCTTACTCTCTTGTTTGTTTCAATATTTGAACGAGTGATGATAACCGTTACTTTATTTCGGATTTCGATCTCTTTAATCCATCTTATGACCTCTTCTCGTGTACCAAATTCTTAAGTAATTGAAAAAATATCAGACGTATCTATACATATCTGCTCTTTATCACATATTTGCGGAGGAATTTTCGTATCTACAGAATAAAAAAAAATTACATTTACGAAAACAAACTAGAAGTCTCATGAAAAGAGTTCCAATACACAGTGTCACTAAACTGGAACTCTTAGGAAAAGTGTTCCGGTACATATTATGACCAAACCGAAAGACATGACAGAAAGTGTTGCGAAAGAGTCATAAGTATGTCTCAGAATCAGAAGTCTTTTTATAATGCATCCGGTATATATTTTGTAATGAACCAGAACTCTTAGTCAAAGTCTTCCGAAATAAAAAAAATACTTACTGAAAGTCATTCCAAATGTGTTTCGAAACGAGGTTGATGGGGTGAATTTTTTGAAACTCTGACAGGAACTGTAAAAATAAAATAAAAAAATATAGATAAAATTGACTTTTTTTTTTAAAAATATAAAAATATAAATATAATTGTAGAAGTATGAGGTAAAAAATTTTACCGGAGAAGTTTGACATCTTGATGTAATTCGATGTCTTATTTAGCTTTTGAAAAGTTGTTGATTTTAGTTTTTTTTCTACTATATAACATTTGGGTTCAATACCCTTACTACTCAATATTAATAAAGTCGTTTGTTTATATAAAAAAAAAAGTAAACCAAAAATTTTAAATATTTCTGAAATAATGATCGCAATATGAGAACCTACCAAATACTGTTATTTTCACTTCCAACAAATTGATATAATAATCAAAGTGGCAAGCGGCATCTATGCTCTATTAGTCTCAAGTTTCCTACGCGAACTAGCTTCATCATATTCTGATAAGAATTCCAACACCTACACAGCTTCATGTTGAATCTTCATGTGGCGTATGAAAATATTACTAAATGGCTAAAGCTATGATATTTGGGTTTTGTTTTGGAAAACTACCTCTTATAGTTCATAAATTAATTGATAGTTAATTACTAATAGTAATTATTAATAGTTGATAGTTTGTGACTTACAGTGGATAAGTTAATTTAAATATTTGATAAATTAATAGTTATACTAATTAATAAATATAAAATGACATGAAAAATATTTTTAATTAAAAAAATTAGTAATTCTATATATTAAATCAATTTTTATTCAATAAAAATAAACGTACTAACAATCAAATATAAAACATTTTAAATATAAATATAAAATTAAATTTTGCAATAAAATATAATAAAATATTTAAAATAATAATATTATAATTTTATATTATATTTCAATAAAGTGTCTATTTCATTTTCTTTTTATCTCTCTCAAAGTTATGCCTAGTAACAAATAAATATATTTTTTTAGTCTTACCAAATAAGTTTTTAAACAAGAAACATGCAACTTTCATCGGCCGCACTTTAGTAATTATTTAGATTCACTTAAAACATGTAAAAGTAATTTTATATAAATAAACTTGATTTTATCATTTTTAAGTTAGTATAAATTAGTTATGTTTAGAGGATCGGTTCTAACATCATATAATTAATTACAGTTTCTCTGAATTTTAATTACAGGGGATCAAAACGGAATCTTCCCTATAAATCTTACACCAATCACCGTTTAATCAGATAACGATAAATAAGTGAAAACAATTTAGATCCACGTAAAACTGATATTTAGAATCAATTGTTTTGCGATTATTCCACTTAGTGCAAATTAAAGTGGATTCTCTCTATGGAATTGTCCTATCTCACGATGCTCTAAATAATAACCATCCAAAATTTGCTAGCAAAATCACATTAATCCTATTTTTTCCCTTTAAATAAGTGCTTCTTCCTTCACATTGCACACAAGCACCATCAAGTATCAACACATCCAATTCACCATAAAAAAAATGTCCCTCTTTCCCAATAGCATCTTTGGTCGAAGAAGATCAAAATCACCCCAAGATCATCATCATCACCACCACAACAACCACCCATCATACCAAACCCATGGCTATGAAGTTTCTCAACCCCACACACCCCACATACCACCCCTAAATTTCCACGAGCCAACACCAATTGTCAACACCACTCACATAGAGTGGAAAGAAACCCCTGAAGCTCATGTTTACAAAGCACATCTTCCGGGGATGAAACGAAACAACATAAGAGTTGAAGTTGATGATGACAGAATGCTATGCATCATTTGTGAGAAGAGTGTTGAGATGGAAGAACAAAGTGGTGGCTGGCACCGTATCGAGGTTGCTAGTGGCCATTTTGTTCAGCGTCTTACTTTGCCTGAAAACTCTAAGGTTGATCATGTTAAAGCTTATATGGATAATGATGTGCTCACTATTAATGTTCCTAAGAATAGAGTTGGTGTGAACAAACGTGTTAGGAATGTTCAAATTTCTCATGTTTGAGAAGTTAGTTGTCACCGTATCTGAGTGTAATAAGATTCTCTCTATTTAAGAAATATTTCATAAGTTTAAAGAGAGATGAATTTATGAAATAAAATAATATTTCATAAGTTTTGAGGTGGATAGATAAAAATTCACTTTAAATTATAAAAGTGTTCATTTGAAAGAAAGAAATCAAAGTATCTAAATACATATTATCTTAATTATTGAAGCTAAACTTTTTATACGTATCTTTCTAGAAGAGACGTGATTAACTATATAAATAAAAATTACGAAGTTTTATTCTTCATTAATTGTAATTTCTTAATATTTTAGATGAAATCATAATAAAAGAAGGTTTTCTTTTATGCTAATTCTCATAATCACAATCAGAGAATACATGATATCAAAAGATATTATTAATGAACAATGTTATTTAGAAATTCGTAATATAGAAAAATATTAAGAATAAACTTTACTCAATAACACTAGGTAGAAATTGCATAAATTAATACAAAGCAAGTTATATGATAATTCAAGATAAATTCATTTACAATGCCTAATTTTAAGGAATTTAGCTACTTATTATAATTATAGCTAAAATTTCAATAAGTAATACATGAGTTGCAAAATGAAAATCGAGATTCAATGGTGTAGAAGCTGTTGATCAAGGTAAGAATACAAAAATCTCAAGCTTTATTGATGTTGCAAACTTTACTCGATGATGAAAACAGAAAATTGAGGCTGTATAAGTAGCTTTACAAAAAAACTGCTTAAAACTAAAACTCCTAATTTTCAGCCCTCTATGCTAAATAATAGGACTTACTAGAACTGCTCCTTTTGACTAGGAATTTATTAACCGACTAAAATTCAAATACTAATTAAAACAAATATTAATATTTCAACAATTCCTCCCCTAAACTAAGTATGCATACTGCATTTTAGTTTAATCTTCTGCTGCTTGTACTCCCAGCTGCTTCCGAATTTTCTCAAATTGGTCCAACTTCAATGGCTTGGTCATGATATCTGCAAGCTGATCATTTGTTCTACAGAACTCCATAATAACAGCTCCGTCCTTAGTTAGATTTCTCAGAAAATGAAATCTCACGTCTATGTGTTTGCTTCTCCCATGAAAAACTGGATTTTTGGCAAGCTTAATGGTAGAAGAATTGTCGCAAAATATTGTAACACAATCAGATTGAGAACCTTTAATTTGTTTTAGAATGTGTTGCATCCAAATACACTGGCAAGCACAAGATGTCGCTGCTACGTATTCGGCCTCAGTTGTGGAAAGAGTAACTACTGGCTGCTTCTTGGAGGCCCATGCAACAACTCCACCACTTAACATAAATACATAGCCTGAGGTGCTTTTCCGGTCATCTATATCACCGGCATAATCGCTGTCCGTGTAACCTACTAACTCATCCTTGCACCCCTTCCGGTAGAAGATGCCTAGATCAATTGTTGACTTAATATACCTTAAAATTCTTTTGGCTGCAAGCATGTGTGCTTCCTTTGGATTTGACATGAACCTACTAATAAGACACACACAGTATATTAAGTCAGGCCTGGTTGCTGTCATATACATCAAACTCCCCACCATCTGCTTGAAAAGAGTTCCATCAACTTGTTTTCCTTCCTCTTCTCTTGACAGCTTAATACTCCCAGGGACTATGGGATTTTTTACTCCATTACAATTTCCCATGCCAAATCTCTCGAGAACTTCTCCTGCATACTTCTTCTGGCTTATGTGTATTCCTCTCGCATTTTGACGCACTTCAACTCCTAGGAAGTACTTCATTTCGCCTAGATCAGTCATCTCGAATTCTCGTTTCATAGAATTTTTGAATCCTTGCATCATGATCAAATTATTACTGGTAAAAATAAGATCATCAACATAAAGACTTACAATCAATATTTTCTCTTTTTCTTCTTTGATGAACAAAGTGTATTCATAGCAGTTCCTTTTGAAACCTTCATTGAGGAAGTAGCTTTCGATCCTGCTGAACCATGCTCTTGGAGCCTGCTTCAACCCATAAAGTGCCCTTTTTAGTTTGTAAACTTTGCTTTCCTCCCCTTTTACTTCATATCCTTACGGTTGTGATACATATACATTCTCATGCAACTCTCCGTGCAAAAATGCACTGTTGACATCCAATTGATAGAGTTTCCAGCCATTTCTTGCTGCTAGTGCTATCACCATTCGGATAGTATCCCATCTTGCAACCGGGGAAAAAACTTCATCGTAGTCTACACCTTTCTCATGTGCATAACCCTTGGCCACCAAGCGAGCTTTGCACTTGCTAACTTCACCGTTTTCATCACACTTTGTTTTGTAGATCCACTTTACACCTATTATTTTTGCTTTTGAGGGAGGTTGAACTAGCTCCCAGGTTTGGTTCTTTTTTATTGCTGCTATTTCCATGTCCATGGCATCTCTCCAATTTTTCTCTTTTACTGCTTCTTCATAATAAATTGGATCAGTAGGCATAAACAGAAGAAAATTTGGTGCCTCATCTTCTGATAATTCACCTCCACTTGTATAGTCTTGAAGGTAGATTGGAGCCTTTCTTGTTCTCTTTGCTGTGGTTGGTGGAGTTGTCGCTTCATTTGACGAGGAATCCTCAATTTCTAAGTGTTCTTCTTCTGATTCACTCGTGGTATTTTCATCTTCATGTTCATCTAATTCCTCAATTTCTTCCTCATAGTCTTCACCCCAATCAAGTGCATCACTTTTTGATTTTGCATATGTCCTCCCCCAATTCCAGCAGCCATCTTCCTCAAATATTACATCTCGACTGATTGTTACCTTCATAGTTGAAGGATTTATCATTTTGTATCCTTTTGATTTCTCAGTGTATCCAATGAATACTTGCTTTTGGCTTCTAGCATCAAGTTTGAGTCTTCTAGCTTCTGGTACATGAACATTTCCTACACATCCGAATACTTTAAAATGCTCGACGCTGGGCTTGAGACCACTCCAACACTCTTCTGGTGTCTTGTCTTTTACAGCAGATGTGGGGCTTCTGTTGAGCACATGGCAGGCCCATTTTGCGGCTTCTGGCCAAAACATTTTTGGCAGTCTCTTCTCTTCCAATATGGAGCGTACCATATTCATAATTGTGCGATTCTTGCGCTCAGCGACTCCGTTTTGTTGAGGTGTATAAGTTGTGGTCAATTGTCGCTTGATTCCTTGAGCTTTGCAGAAGTTTGAAAATTCATTTGAATTGAATTCTCCTCCTCTGTCTGTTCTTAAACAACACAATGACAAACTAGTTTCCTTCTCTGCCATGGTTTTAAATTCTTTGAAAATAGTGAAGGCTTCACTTTTCTCATTTAGAAAGTAAACCCAAAGTTTTCGACTAAAATCATCAATAAATATCAGTATGTACCTTTTGTTTCCATGTGATTCAGGAGAAATTGGACCGCATATATCCGAGTGAATAAGTTGCAGTTGCTGTTTGGCTCTCCAGATGCTTTTCTTAGGAATAGCTTCTCGATGTTGTTTTCCAACCATGCAGCTTGTACAGATTTTTGATGAAGCATTCAATTTTGGAAGCCCTCGAACCAATTTCTTGTTATGCAACAACGCCAAATTCTTATAGCTCAAATGACCAAACCTTTTGTGCCATATTTCACCAAGGTTATCAACATTTGCTTTGAAGCATGTAGATGTTAATATAAGAATGTTTGTTGTCACAAGAAACATTCTGTTGGTGGTCATTATGCTTTCCATTATGCAACCTCTGTTCGGATGATATAGCTTGCAAACTCCATGCTTAATCATAATTGTGATGTCTCTATCTTGGAGCTGCCCAATACTCAGTAAATTATTGCATAAATTAGGAATAAAAAATACGTCGCTTACGATATGAGTGCTTCCTCTGAACTCCAATTTGATGTTTCCCTTTCCCATTACTTCTAGCTTTGAGTTATTTCCAAGCTTGACTGAGTGCCTGAAGCTTTCATCCAGCTGTATGAACCATTCCTTGTTTCCGGACATGTGATTTGAACATCCGGAATCAAGAAACCATACTCCCTCTTTCTTGTTTGGATGAGAATCTGCTTGTGCCATCAGCAACATCTCTTCCTCTTCATTAAACTCAGCATAATTCACTCTTTTCTCCCATGTTGGACACTCATACTGATAGTGCCCCAAATTATGACACTTGTAGCATTCCACAGTAGCCCTACTTGTAAATGGTCTGCCTCTACCTCTTCCTCGGCCTCTCGTTATGCCTCTGCCTCTGCCTCTTTCGTAACGCTCCTCGTGTGTCACTTTCAATGCCTGCTCCTCCTCATTTGAACCCTTCATTCTTTGCTCATGGATAAGGAGACTGCTTTGGAGTTCATCAACTGTTAGAGTTTCCACATTGTTAGACTCCTCAATGGAGCACACAACGTAGTTGAATTTTGTCACAAGAGACCTCAAAATTTTTGACGTAATATCGTTTTCTTTCACAGTCTCTCCGCAAGCTTTCATCCGCTTTGCTATGGAAAGAGCTCATCCAAAGTATGCATTGACGGATTCTCCTTCTTTCACTTCAAAACCTCGAACTCAGTTTTCAAACTTTGAAGCTGAGCTCTCTTCACTCTAGTTGAACCTTTGAACTTTTGTTTCATCGAGTCCCATATCTGCTTTAAGGTGTCATCATTTAGTATTGTCTCCAAAATTTCTCTATCAATGGCTTGATAGAGATAATTCTTCACCTTTCGGTCTTTCAGCTTCTGTTCAGCAATTGTTTTTGTCTCCTCATCAGTGGGCTGTCGGTTTTGTGGACCAACATCCACCCCATCCTCGACCAAGTTCCACATCTCTTTAGATCTGAGGAAGTTCTCCATCAGCTTTGCCCAATGCTCATAGAAGCCATCAAATTTGGGAATAGCTGGTTGCACAAATTTGCTGCTACTGCTGCTATCATTCATTCTCACGAATTTCTTTAAATTCTCTGTCTTTCTCTGATCAGGCCTCTTGACGAGGCTCTGATACCAATTGTTGATCAAGGTAAGAATACAAAAATCTC